AACCAGCATGGCCTTCCTCCCGAAAACATGCACTCACACATCTTCTTCTAATCTAGGCAGACTTCAGCTGACTTGTTGCATTCACTTTATGGAAGTGACCAGGGAAATCCATCCACCATTTTTTTCTAAGAATGAAGGGGGACAGCACAAGATTGAGTTGACTTTCCACCACAAAAATGCAGCCTCCAACAGTGGATAGTGCCCTAAGGACAACTGTTTGGTGGACCCCAAAAGATTTGTGGGACAATAGCAAATGAAACCTTGTGTCAGATTTAGAAGCAGAATCACTGGAATAAAGGTGTTAGAACACTATATTTCAAATGTAATTATTCAGGGGGCTAAGTTGGACCACACTGCCTTTGTATTCTGGGGCAGCCTGCCTGGACTCTGAGTCCAAAGATCACATCAGAGCAGGTAGCTAAGAATTGGTTAGTCCTCACACACTGGCCAGTACAGGTTTCTCTATATGTGCGCCAGGAGGTAAAGGGGTGGGGAGAACTTGCTGCCATTATAGATCATCAGCAAATTGCCACTTCCTTCCTTCCTTCCCCTCCAGAACAATGCAGAAGCAGAGAAATCCTGACTCGGAAGTCTAGATTGCAGTGTCCCAAGGCGGCTGCTGCTGCTGCAGTTATGCAGTTTATGCCCCAATCCTCTCAGGGCTGTGCCCAAAGGCTCTGTCTGAGTTCTGGAAATTTCTAAACTTAAAGGTATTCAGAGAAGTGCGAAGATTTTAGAACTCGAGCAATACAGATTTAAATATTTTCTGATCTAAGAAGCTTTAAGTTCAGTTTGATTTGACTTTTGATCAAATATGTGATTGTGTTGTTTGAAACATTTCTCCATGCTTTCTTGGGGAGAGGGAAAGAAACATCTGCTTCTTAAGAAGCAAAGCAACAGGATCCTCCACAAAATGCCCATATTGTTTTTGCCCTCTCCTACTACTTTTCAGCTGAGGACCATTGGAGATTCTGCCACGTCATTTCTTTTGGGAAAGATGTCTCAGGCTCCAAAGGAAAACTCCGTAGGGTGCAGTGCACCCCATGGAGAACATACCTCTTCATCTTACTAAGCATAGCTCACCTCAAAATGTTGAAGACATTCATCAGATACTATGCTTGCACCTGACCCTCCATCTGAGTTGCAGAATGAAAATAATATATAAACCACCAGTCCTAAGGTCCAGGGGATTTTCAGGTAGGATTTCTATGTTGCTGCTAGGGGATATCATATATGTCTGAGCTCTTTTTCAATCTATTCATGAAATTACCACCACACAGCATTCAGATGGGGGTGGAGGGTCACAAACCTGTATTGGGAAGGGGAAAATGCTGATCATTTGGCTCCAGTCTCATCATCCATTCCCAAGCTTGCATTCTGTGCATATTTGGCCTTCATTGAGGTTATTTTCTTTTCCTAAACGTGGAGGAAGAGAGGGGGGAGAGAGAAAGAGATGCAAGGGTCTATATTAGTATTTTATCATCTCTGTCCTCCTCTCCCAATCTATACTGCTTGCCGCCAAAAAAAGAACTGTTGCTGAGAAAAAGCAATTTTTATGACCAATTACTCTGTAACAGGAATCTTGATTGTGATTTTTCCCTAAAGAGACATGAATACAAATGAAGAACCTATATTTCTCTACTAATTGTGACGGGTATAGAGACGTGGATATAAATGAATAATGGAATTGCTTGGCAATACTATAGGTAATAGAAGGCGTTTATGCCTAATGTAATGTTGACTGTGCAAGTGCATGTCCAGTTCATTGAAATTGCTGTTCTAATGTTGTTTTGCCAGGTACATACCACATCATCATAATTCATATGTGGTCAAGGCTGGTGAGAGAGAGAGTACCGTATTTTACTATATGCTACATACATGTAGATTTAATGAGGTGCAAGGGTGAGGCTACAGAAGAAATGGTTTATTGGTTCTCTCTGTTGGCCATTTAGAGAGCAGTAGTTGTAGCGACACTCTTACGTATTTCATGTAATGTGTTTTGATTACGCCAACAGAAAGGGCTGTGATGGTCTTTCTTGATGTCCTAGGAGTATGACCATCAGGTAAAGAGACAGTGAAGTTGGGGATTTTCCATAAAATTCATCATCCTAAGAAAAAAATACTAGGTTATGCCTTTGATTCTACAGAGTGAGTGCATTAGCATGCTGTTTTTGCTATATGTACTGATTAGTTCTATAAATACCTTTGGAAATGTTTTCCAAATCAGAGAAAACATTGTGTTTAGTATGTTTAAAATATAATAGGAATCGAGATCCATATCTATTATATATTTGAGTTTGTATATGCATCTGTGAATTAATCTGTCTGTTTATCAGTCTCTCTCCTCCCTCCTAAATGGTAAGAATTAGGACCACCAAATTTTAAACTGTTTATCAGTGTCTCTCCTCCCTCCTAAATGGTAAGAATTAGGACCACCAAATTCAATTTGTAGCTTCCTCTTACAACCAAACCCTTATCTTGATTTAAGTTATATCAGGAAAATGGGATTGTGCCTGGAATTGGGGGTGCTTCTCATAAAACCATACAGAAAAGAGACAGAAACATCAAACAGGTAAAAGGGGCTGGATGGAGACAGGCAACTTTCCTGTCCAGAACTGCCCCTGCCCTGACAGGGGAAAGTGCACAGTTTGCTGCATTCCCCAGCCAAAGTGAGGAGTGTAAGGGGTAGACACACCTGGTCCTGCCTCTCCCAGAGAACATGCACCCCTCCCCTGGCTGTGCTTGCTGGAGCTGAAGCGGCCACGCCAGAGAACATGCTCCCCTCCCCTGGCTGTGCTTGCTGGAGCTGAAGCGGCCACAGAGAGAGAGATCTTATCTGCCCCCAAGTTTCTGCAGTGAGAAAGTCCTCTCTCCCTGGGGCTACCTCAATCCTATCTGCATACCGGACACTTTATCTCCAGCCCCACTATTTTATTTGCCACACAACAAAAACTGAGTTAGGGCCCCAAGGAACACTGGATACATCTTTTAGTAGTTTACATAAAGGAAAGTCTAGATTTGGAAAAGTGGTTTAAATAATTATTTAAATGCTACTAAAGTACAAAGGGAAGGTCTGTGGTATAACATGTGGTATAACCCATTCAAACTAAAATTCAGTTATGCTTACTACTCTGAACAGTACCCCAAACAGTAAACGTGATAGTTTGCACCAGAATGCTTTTACCTTTAATAGCAAATTTGAACTCACTAATTACATGCAAGCTGGGATTTAACGAAATGGCTTGGACCTTGCCAATATTAAATTATATTCTGACATTCTGAAGTAGAAAATAACTGCAAACTTGTTCTAAATAAGATTATATCATAAAGCACTCATATTTCCCATGTTTTCTAGTAGTCATAATAAAACGAATTGTTATGGTTGCTTACCTTCTACGTTTACATTTTGTTCTTTCATATATTGCCAGGCTACTGGTGTGCAAACACAGATGTAAATATATAGTGGCAGACGGGTGATGCTTTGAATTCATACAATAGCACTGAGTCATCTGGACAGCATTCCATTGTGATTCCGCATGTATCCCATTGTAGGGTCAATGCATTATGTTCAAAAATACAACCTCACAATAAATGGAGCTCAATTAACCACTTTTACCTTTCTCTTTATTTAAGCCCTTATCCCGGCTTGTATTTTGCTGCACCACTATATTTTAGTTTATTTTAGATTTCTAGGATAATTCTAGACAAACACCTGTGAGTTCACAAACACACATTTCACAGGCTCTGAAGTATATAGATTCTTTAAGTTATGAAAGAAGTAATGATCTACTCTCATGTTCCTGGTGACTTCAGATTTCCCAGTGAAGTCCCTCAGATTTTATCACTCACAAGAAATTCAGAATAGTGTTCAATATATGCCATTTGAACACTACATAGCTAGAGAATGAATAATTCATCCCTTAGGAGTCTGCAATGGAATATAGGGATGTCACCTTCATACATGTAGGGTGTGTAAATATATTTTGAACCTCTCTAATCTGGCATTCTCTGATCCAGCATGATTTTAGTTAGATGGATCTCCACTTATCATAGGTGAAGCCATGTTTATTACAGTCCCATAAAGTTTGTTTAGAGCCATCAGTCTTGGTTTTCATTGTTCTATGCTATTTTGCTCAAATTTACCCCTGAATGTTTTCTAAGGCTACGTCTAGACTACGTTCCTTTGTCATCTGAGGGATGTAAGTGAAGCACTTCGAAAATGCAAATGAAGCCAGAATTTAAATATCCCATGCTTCATTTGCATAACCACATAATGGCGCTCTTTCGAAAAAGCACTATTTCGAAATTGAAACCGCAGTCTTAGACGTGGTTCTTTCGAAAACGGGGTGCTTTTTCAAAACATCCTGTAAACCTCAACGAGGTTTCTTGGAACATCAACTATTTTTCATCTTTCACATGTACACACATGCATATGAAAAATATATACAACCTCTCTAGTCTGGCACCTTTGGGACCTGACCGGTGGCAAACCAGAGAATTTGCTGAACCACAGGAAGTCAATGTTGTCTAGCAGTGGTGCCTAGTGTTATCTAGGCACTTTCACTGCCTACTGGACTCTTAGGTTGTGTCTAGACTAAATCCCTCTGTCGGCAATGAGGTTTACAGGATCTTTCGAAAAAGCACCCCATTTTCGACAGAACTGCGTCTAGACTGCGGTTTCAATTTTGAAATAGCACTTTTTCGAAAGAGCGCCATTACATGATTATGCAAATGAAGAATGGGATATTTAAATCCTGGCTTCATTTGCAATTTTTTAAAGTGCTTAATTTACATCCCCCTGCTGATAGGCTATGTCTAGACTACATCCCTAAGAGCCCAGTAGGCAGTGAAAGAGTTGTAGGGATGTAGTCTAGACATAGACTAAGAGCCCAGTAGGCAGTGAAAGAGTTGGCAAAGCTGCTAGACAATATTGACCTCCTGTGGTTCAGCAAATTCTCTGGTTTGGCCCTGGTCAGGTCCCAAAGGTGCTGGACTAGAGAGGTTCAACCTGTATATATTTTTCATATGCGTGTGTGTACATATGAAAGATAAAAATAGTTAATGTTCCAAGAAATAAAGTTGCATTGAGCTTCCTAGTCAAATCCAGATTTGGCTACAGCTCTACACTCCTAAAACAAAATCCTTTTGTTGTTTGAACTCGTTATTCATTAGTGATTTGCTAAGGTTTGGGATCTATGCACAGATGCAAAAGAAGTGTCACCTTAGCTCTTAAAGCCATGTGTGAGCTGAGCATCCAGGTTCTGATGAAGAGCTTAAGTTCCTGCTATACTTGTGCCAAGAAACTGAAGATGTGTGGGAAATGCATAGCAGATATAAAGTAGCATGGAACTGTGCACCAGTATTCTGAAAGTGGTGGAAATTCTAAAGAATCACAGTAGCTGGATCCCATAGTTCCAGAGAGTGATAGCTGCCCTGACCTTTGACAAGCACAAGTAGTATGCAAAGATGTACACATCTCCCCACTCATGTTGGGTCAATGCCTTCACTGCAGTGGAACTATTCCTAAGGGCAGGTCAACACTATGAAGATAGGTAGATTTAAGCTACACAATTTGAGTTATGTTAGTAGTCTAACCAGGTCGATTTAAGCTACACAATTAGAGTTATGTTAGTAGTCTAACTCAAATCAACGTAGCTTAGATCTACTTACTGTATGGTCCAATCTGTGTGGGGTAAGGGGTCATCAGAAAAAACTCTCCTGTTGACTCCCGTTACTTGTTTTCTGCTGGAGTAGCGGAGTCAAAAGGAAAACAATCAGCAGTCAATTTAGTGGGTCTTTACTAGACTCACTAAATCAACCACCTGTGGACTGATCACTGCAGGGTTGATCTACCCTATATTGCAGAAAAACCCTAAATGTCCTTTGTGGAACTCATCTAGCCTTCAAGGAATCTGGAAGGTATTATAATATTCACCTGCTAGCCCTGGTTGTCTATCCTTTAAGTGAATTTTGAAACCACTCTGTTCATTGCAATGGGTATAAGAACACTCCTCTTCCCCCAACCCTCAAAATACAAGGATAATCATATCACTAAATGAATCTGGACAAATGAGATTCTAAGTCTTGCAAGGAAGTCTTTAGTAAAACATACTGGATATGAGGGACACTTTGTCTCCATACACTTAATGAAATATGTGGATGATTTAAAGTCCATACTAAAGCAGCCAGAAAGAAAAGTTTTTAAAAATCTTCTGGTGTCAATTTGAAAAAAAAATGCTAATTCCATTCCAGCATATAAAACACAATAAAATTAGGATATCCTGTAATTAGTCAAAAATCTATAGTTCTATATATTGAGGTACAGAATTTTTTCTTGATAACTTTATGAAAATGTGAAAGAAATCCCTAGACTATCCACATCAAGCTAGTTACATTTTTGTAAGTATCAATAACATTATATGGAAAAATACACACAAGAACATTGTCATGTTAACAACTGAAACGATAGAAAGGCAGGATGTGTAAATTCAGTTTAGAATTTGATGGTAATAAAAACACCCAGTTAAGTTGCTGCAGGCAACCTTATCTCACTCTTACTAATAATAACTTGGGGGGAGGCAGGGCAAGGATAATTTTTAAATGATTTTTAAAACATTTTACTGTGTCTTTTAGGAGGTTATTTTTCATTAACCTTTACTCCGTCTTAAAGTACTGGTCTGTATGTGTATGTATAATTTAATACTCACACAACATATACATGTATATGAAAAGCCCAAGTTTAAATGCAGCAATAAAACATAATATTAGTTAGTTCATATGTTGTGGTGTTGTAAATGCTGTGTGGTATCAAACTTTCACATAATCCAGCTATCCCATTCAGGAAAATACCTTCAGTGACTGCAATGTTAATTTGCCTGATTGAGGATTGCAGCCCCACACCACTGTTTACTTTCTTTCTTCAGTTTTGTCAGTTCTCTGTGAGATGCTTGTCACTCACATCTTACATACTTCAAAATTGCTAAGAGAATTGAAGTCAATGGGTAGAGTCCTGCAAATCTGTGGCATCCCCTTGTTATCTGCAGTACCCTTACATACAGAGTTTCACAAGTTTTTAGGAACGCAAAGCTGCAGGTAGGCATCTAGTAGGGTTTACAAAACACATAACTTTCCAAGCATTTTTGAAAATCTTACTAGGTGCTTAAATACCTTTTGAAATGTTGGCCTTTAATTTCTCTGTGCCCAATGGCTCCTCTGTACAGTGAGGATAACAACACTGCTCTACCTCACAGAGAGCCTGTGAAGATAAATAGGTTAGACATTGTGAGGCGCTCAGATACTATGGTGATGTGGCTATGTAAGTACCATAGGTAGAGTGGGAACTTAATCTATACCACTGCTATCCCCTTCCTTGGCTATGGCCCCTATTTTTCACCAATCCCCGTCTTAGTGCCCTCTTTTCTGAATGTAACTTTTTGGATTTGTTTATTCTGAGCCCCCTATGTTCTGTCTTCAACACTGCCCACCTCCACTTCCACTCTTCTGCAGAAGGATTCCTGTTTGACAGGCTAATATAAAGACTTCCTGGTCCTTAATTCAATTACCATCCTTTTCTTATCTTAATCACCCTGCCTCTTTTTGTAAACAAAATTCTGACTTCCTCCCTCTGAGGCACAAACTGGGAGCAGCACTTCTGCAGAACTCATATTTCACATAATTAAGAGCTCTGCCTGGGGCTGGGATTTGTGCTGCCTGCAGATCTTGTATACAAAACAGTCCCCCCTAAATAGTGTCCTTGCCCTTTAGGTAAAATATGTGGAGTCACTTGTAATGAAAATAAGGGGGGGGGGAGAAGGAGAATCTAGTGTACAATGGGGACTTGGCATGCAACCTGCACTCACCTGCTAATATGCAGAATACATTTATTTTTAACTAAAATGTATTCAAATCCCTATGAGGCTGAGAAGAGACGTTTTGTAAATAAATCCCGAGTTTTATTAAGCATGCTTTTATTAAGCAATATAAGTAACTATCCAGAAGAGAGCTGGAAAGAACCGAGGGCACAGTCAGGATTATAAGAGGTAAGGCTTAGAGGGAATGGCACAAAACTAAGGGTGGGAACAGAGAAGGAAGGCAGGGGCAGGGAAAGGCAAGAATGTGTCATCTGGAGTAGCACTGGGCGGGACTAGGATTAGGATAAAAGTGTTTAGAGCAACCTGTTCCTTTTTCTTTTAGACACTGACAGCACATTTCACAGGGTAGAATTTCTGCCAGAAGATCTTGGTGAGGCTCTGAATAAGACTGCAATGAGGGTGAATGAGAAATACGCCTCTCTACCAACTGAGGAGAAGGGGATACACATTATCAACATCCGAGCTATTGAGGATATTGGATACATTCAGCATGAAAGTACAGTGAGTAGAGATGTTCCTGAATGGTATTTATCTTCTGGGGTGTTGTACCCTGCTCAGCACCATGGAATTCAAGTGCCTTCATTCTCAGAACCATTACTCCTCTGCGTTTGGGGGTTTGGATAGTGCGAGTTCTGCACTGTTGATGTTGGTTGTGAACAGTTATCACCAACCACAGTACAGGCAACTTTAAAGGGTTTGTGTTGGCTTGTGTACAGCAGGATCGTAATTTGAGCTAAATCTTATAAAGGGCTTCTTATTCCCAGATTAAACAAACCAGCAAAGCAGTGGGAGCTTTTTGAATTTGGGTGAGACATTTGAATTTGAAGACAGCCCTTAAATGTCTAAAAATGTACATCCAAAAGCTACACATTTGCTTGCATTGATAATGTTACACCAGTAACCTACAGTATAGATACCTGTTGTCTGAATGGATTTTCACTGTCATTTGTTATGCTTTCATTACTTTTTAAATTAAATTGTTTTGTACATTAAATATGACTAGAGTAATTTCTAAATGTTATAATGTAGATGTCCAGGTGGTTAAGGAGTCAGTAATGTTACATACATGTACAAGGCCAAAATGTGTATAGGTGTAGTGTTACCACTGCTATTGCACTAATCATTATTTCTTTATCCATCTGTATCCATCTGTTATCTCTGTCTTTGACTTAAAGAAGATTGTAAACTCTTTGACAGGATCTGTCTTTTTTTTCTCCTGTTTGTACAGCATCTAGTACAGTGGGATCCTGGTACATGATTAGGGTTTCTAGGACTACTGTTCTAGAAATTATTATTATTATTATTATTATTAATAATAATAATAATAATAAAAATAGATAAATAAGCGAACAGAGGGAGAGAAGGCCTGGAACACAAACATTAACTGATACTATTCTGTTTGCAGTATGTTTTTTATCTCCGACAATGGAGAGAGAATATTTAATTGGCATTGACTTGGAAGTGAGGAATAGCATGAACAGCCTCCTAAGTTTGCGTTTTTAAAACTGAATTGTACCTTTAGTTTTTCCTCTAGATTGAGCTGCTTGATCCTGCTTTGGTGTAAATCACTATAGCTTCACTTATTTCAAATGTCACTATAACTACACTGATTTACATCAAGTGAGGATATAGCCTACCAATAGCTTCTCAATTTTAATTCCAGATTAATGCAGTTATTGGTTTGGGAATTTGCTTAGCATTTTCATACCATTACAACAAGAAATTCCTGGTATACTAGACATGTGGAACTGTTTATTCTCCTCCAAGTGCATAAATGACTTGATATTATAGAAATATACAATAAAAACGTTGTTATCCAGCACTCTGTTAACTGGAAAACTTTAACCTGCATTGCCCACAGCCACACTACCACCAAGTCTTCAGGCATGCATGCCTGATTCCCTCCTGTCCAGCCAGACATTGTGGTGCTTCTGACAGCGGGCACTGCCAGTTGATGTCATCAGAAAGTCCCTAATTCCCCCTCAGCTTGCCTTGAACTGGATCTGCAGATAGGGGGCAGAGGCACAGCAATAAGCTTTGTTATCCAGCACATTCAATTAATTGACTACCCCAATTCTCCATGAGTGATGGATAACATGTGCTTAATAGAAGGGCACCAATATTTTTTTTTCAACCTGTATTGTCAAGCTTCTTTCCATCTTGCCAGATCAGATGTGGACTTCATGATATCCTCATAGTCTAGGAACTGTATTGGGGCCAAATCTATGTACTCCTAAAGTCTATAATCCATCCAGTTTTATCACAGTGTAAGTAGGACTCAGGGATGGGGGAGAGAGGGAAGGAAACTGAGAGGGGAAAGAGG